ACCACGCATCCGAGGATACTGCGACCTGAACCACTCGGCCATCCGAGGATACTGCGACCTGAACCACTCGGCCTGAACCACTCGGCCTTAGACCACTCGGCCATCCTGCCGTTAATGAAATCTTTCAAAAACTTTAAGTAGTTTTCAGTCCAGAGATTAGTTTTGTTTATTTTGCTTTTTGCAAAAATTTTTGGGACTTTGAATTGCTAATACATGCAATCAGTGTGGTTCGCTAGGGGTTACTCCATTCTCAAAAAATCCCTTTCTTTGACAGGAGTGGGATTCGAACCCACGCATCCGAAGATACTGCGGCCTTAACGCAGCGCCTTAGACCACTCGGCCATCCTGCCTATACGGCTCTTTCTTTAAAATTTCAACTACTTTTCAATCCAGAGATCATTTTTGTTTCTTCTGCATTTTGCAAGCGTTGCTGGTCATCTGAACTGCCAAAACTTACTATTAATGTGATTGTTTCTGGAGGCTATATTCGCAAAAAAAATTTTTCTCTGCTAGATGTGGGATTCGAACCCATTAATCTGAGGATATTGCTCCCTGAACGCAGCGGCTTAGACCACTCGAACATGCTGCTTTCAAATTTTACGCTTAAATTTTCAATTATTTTTCAATCCAGTGAATTTTTTTTGTTCTGCATGTTCGAAAATCTTCTAGTCCTTTGAATTGCCAATAGCCGCAATTAGTGTGGTTGGCTAGGGAGACTAAAATATCATTAATTTTTTTTCCTTGACAGGAGTGGGATTCGAACCCACGCATCCGAAGATACTGCGACCTGAACGCAGCGCCTTAGACCACTCGGCCATCCTGCCGTTAATGCAATCTTTCAAAAACTTTAAATAATTTTCAATCCAGAGATTAGTTTTGTTTACTCTGCTTGTTGCAAAAATTTTTGGGACTTTGAATTGCTAATACATGCAATCAGTGTGGTTCGCTAGGGGTTACTCCATTCTCAAAAAATCCCTTTCTTTGACAGGAGTGGGATTCGAACCCACGCATCCGAAGATACTGCGGCCTTACCGCAGCGCCTTAGACCACTCGGCCATCCTGCCTATACGGCTGTTTCTTTAAAATTTCAACTAATTTTCAATCCAGAGATCATTTTTGTTTCTTCTGCATTTTGCAAGCGTTGCTGGTCATCTGAACTGCCAAAACTTACTATTAATGTGATTGTTTCTGGAGGCTATAATCGCAAAAAAAATTTTTCTCTGACAGATGTGGGATTCGAACCCATTAATCTGAGGATATTGCTCCCTGAACGCAGCGGCTTAGACCACTCGAACATGCTGCTTTCAAATTTTACGCTTAAATTTTCAATTAGTTTTCAATCCAGTGAATTTTTTTTGTTCTGCATGTTCGAAAATCTTCTAGTCCTTTGAATTGCCAATAGCCGCAATTAGTGTGGTTGGCTAGGGAGACTAAAATATCTTTAATTTTTTTCCTTGACAGGATTGGGATTCGAACCCACGCATCCGAAGATGCTGCGACCTGAACGCAGCGCCTTAGACCACTCGGCCATCCTGCCGTTAATGCAATCTTTCAAAAACTTTAAATAATTTTCAATCCAGAGATTAGTTTTGTTTATTCTGCTTGTTGCAAAAATTTTGGGACTTTGAATTGCTAATACATGCAATCAGTGTGGTTCGCTAGGGGTTACTCCATTCTCAAAAAATCCCTTTCTTTGACAGGAGTGGGATTCGAACCCACGCATCCGAAGATACTGCGGCCTTAACGCAGCGCCTTAGACCACTCGACCATCCTGCCTATAAGGCTCTTTCTTTAAAATTTCAACTACTTTTCAATCCAGAGATCATTTTTGTTTCTTCTGCATTTTGCAAGTGTTGCTGGTCATCTGAACTGCCAAAACTTACTATTAATGTGATTGGCTCTGGAGGCTATAATCGCAGAAAAAATTTTTCTCTGACAGATGTGGGATTCGAAACCATTAATCTGAGGATATTGCTCCCTTTCAAATTGCTGCTTTCAAATTTTACGCTTAAATTTTTCAATTAATTTTCAATCCAGTGAATTTTTTTTGTTCTGCATGTTCGAAAATCTTCTAGTCCTTTGAATTGCCAATAGCCGCAATTAGTGTGGTTGGCTAGGGAGACTAAAATATCATTAAGTTTTTTTCTTTGACAGGAGTGGGATTCGAACCCACGCATCCGAAGATACTGCGACCTGAACGCAGCGCCTTAGACCACTCGGCCATCCTGCCGTTAATGCAATCTTTCAAAAACTTTAAATAATTTTCAATCCAGAGATTAGTTTTGTTTATTCTGCTTGTTGCAAATATTTTTGGGACTTTGAATTGCCAATACGTGCAATTAGTGTGGTTCGCTAGGGGTTACTCCATTCTCAAAAAATCCCTTTCTTTGACAGGAGTGGGATTCGAACCCACGCATCCGAAGATACTGCGGCCTTAACGCAGCGCCTTAGACCACTCGGCCATCCTGCCTATAAGGCTCTTTCTTTAAAATTTCAACTACTTTTCAATCCAGAGATCATTTTTGTTTCTTCTGCTTTTTGCAAGCGTTGCTGGTCATCTGAACTGCCAAAACTTACTATTAATGTGATTGTTTCTGGAGGCTATAATCGCAGAAAAATTTTTTCTCTGACAGATGTGGGATTCGAACCCATTAATCTGAGGATATTGCTCCCTGAACGCAGCGGCTTAGACCACTCGAACATGCTGCTTTCAAATTTTACGCTTAAATTTTTCAATTAATTTTCAATCCAGTGAATTTTTTTTGTTCTGCATGTTCGAAAATCTTCTAGTCCTTTGAATTGCCAATAGCCGCAATTAGTGTGGTTGGCTAGGGAGACTAAAATATCATTAAGTTTTTTTTCCTTGACAGGAGTGGGATTCGAACCCACGCATCCGAAGATACTGCGACCTGAACGCAGCGCCTTAGACCACTCGGCCATCCTGCCGTTAATGCAATCTTTCAAAAACCTTAAATAATTTTCAATCCAGAGATTAGTTTTGTTTATTCTGCTTGTTGCAAAAATTTTTGGGACTTTGAATTGCTAATACATGCAATCAGTGTGGTTCGCTAGGGGTTACTCCATTCTCAAAAAATCCCTTTCTTTGACAGGAGTGGGATTCGAACCCACGCATCCGAAGATACTGCGGCCTTAACGCAGCGCCTTAGACCACTCGACCATCCTGCCTATAAGGCTCTTTCTTTAAAATTTCAACTACTTTTCAATCCAGAGATCATTTTTGTTTCTTCTGCATTTTGCAAGCGTTGCTGGTCATCTGAACTGCCGAAACTTACTATTAATGTGATTGTTTCTGGAGGCTAAAATCGCAGAAAAATTTTTTCTCTGACAGATGTGGGATTCGAACCCATTAATTTGAGGATATTGCACTCTGAACGCATCGGCTTAGAGCACTCGAACATGCTGCTTTCAAACTTTACGCTTAAATTTTCAATTAATTTTCAATCCAGTGAATTTTTTTTGTACTGCATGTTCCAAAATCTTCTAGTCCTTTGAATTGCCAATAGCCGCAATTAGTGTGGTTGGATAGGGAGACTAAAATATCATTAAGTTTTTTTCCTTGACAGGAGTGCGATTCGAACCCACGCATCCGAAGATACTGCGACCTAAACGCAGCGCCTTAGACCACTCGGCCATCCTGCCTATAAGGCTCTTTCTTTAAAATTTCAACTTCTTTTCAATCCAGAGATCATTTTTGTTTCTTCTGCATTTTGCAAGCGTTGCTGGTCATCTGAACTGCCAAAACTTACTATTAATGTGATTGTTTCTGGAGGCTATAATCGCAGAAAAATTTTTTCTCTGACAGATGTGGGATTCGAACCCATTAATCTGAGGATATTGCTCCCTGAACGCAGCGGCTCAGACCACTCGAACATGCTGCTTTCAAATTTTACGCTTTAGTTTTTCAATTAATTTTCAATCCAGTGAATTTTTTTTGTACTGCATGTTCCAAAATCTTCTAGTCCTTTGAATTGCCAATAGCCGCAATTAGTCTGGTTGGCTAGGGAGACTAAAATATCTTGAGATTTTTTTCTTTGACAGAAGTGGGATTCGAACCCACGCATCAGAAGATACTGCGACCTGAACGCAGCGCCTTAGACCACTCGGCCATCCTGCCGTTATTCGAATCTTTCAAAAACTTTAAGTAATTTTCAATCCAGAGATTAGTTTTGTTTATTCAGCTTGTTGCGAAAATTTTTGGGACTTTGAATTGCTAATACATGCTAATCCATTCTCAAAAAATCTCTTTCTTTGACAGGAGTGGGATTCGAACCCACGCATCCGAAGATACTGCGGCCTTAACGCAGCGCCTTAGACCACTCGGCCATCCTGCCTATAAGGCTCTTTCTTTAAAATTTCAACTACTTTTCAACCCGGAGATCATTTTTGTTTCTTCTGCATTTTGCAAGCGTTGCTGGTCATCTGAACTGCCAAAACTTACTATTAATGTGATTGGCTCTGGAAGCTATAATCTCAGAAAAAATTTTTCTATGACAGATGTGGGATTCGAACCCATTAATCTGAGGATATTGCTCCCTGAACCCAGCGGCTTAGACCACTCGAACATGCTGCTGTCATATTTTACGCTTAAATTTTTCTATTAATTTTCAATCCAGTGATTTTTTTTTTGTTCTGCATGTTCCAAAATCTTCTAGTCTTTTGAATTGCCAATAGCCGCAATTAGTTTGGTTGGCTAGGGAGACTAAAATATCTTGAAATTTTTTTCTTTGACAGGAGTGGGATTTGAACCCACGCATACGAAGATACTGCGACCTGAACGCAGTGCCTTAGACCACTCGGCAACCCTGGGTTTAATGGCATCTTTCAAAAACTTTAAGTAATTTTCAGTCCAGAGATTAGTTTTGTTTATTTTGCTTGTTGCAAGCGTTGCTGGTCATCTGAACTGCCAAAACTTACTAATAATGGAGGCCGCAATTAGTCTGGTTGGCTAAGGAGACTAAAATATCTTAAAATTTTTTTCTTTGACAGGAGTGAGATTCGAACCCACGCATCCGAGGATACTGCGACCTGAACGCAGCGCCTTAGACCACTCAGCCATCCTGCAGTTTCTGCAATCTTTCAAAAACTTTAAGTAATTTTCAGTCCAGAGATTAGTTTTGTTTATTTTGCTTTTTGCAAAAATTTTTGGGACTTAGAATTGCTAATACTTGCAATCAGTGTGGTTGGCTAGGGGGACTCAATTCTCAAAAAAAACCCTTTCATTGACAGGAGCGGGTTTAGAACGCACGAATCCAAAAATGCTCTAATTTTTTCAAATAATTTTCAATGCGGAGATTTTTTGTTTATTCTTTAAATTACAGAATCTTTTATTCCTTTGAATTTGCAATAGTTGCAACTAGTGTGGTTGATTAGGGAAACTAAAATATCTTGAGATTTATTTCTTTGACAGAAGTGGGATTCGAACCCACGCATCCGAAGATACTGCGACCTGAACGCAGCGCCTTAGACCACTCGGCCATCCTGCCGTTATTCGAATCTTTCAAAAACTTTAAGTAATTTTCAATCCAGAGATTAGTTTTGTTTATTCAGCTTGTTGCGAAAATTTTTGGGACTTTGAATTGCTAATACATGCTAATCCATTCTCAAAAAATCTCATTCTTTGACAGGAGTGGGATTCGAACCCACGCATCCGAAGATACTGCGGCCTTAACGCAGCGCCTTAGACCACTCGGCCATCCTGCCTATAAGGCTCTTTCTTTAAATTTTCAACTACTTTTCAACCCGGAGATCATTTTTGTTTCTTCTGCATTTTGCAAGCGTTGCTGGTCATCTGAACTGCCAAAACTTACTATTAATGTGATTGTTTCTGGAGGCTATAATCGCAGAAAAATTTTTTCTCTGACAGATGTGGGATTCGAACCCATTAATCTGAGGATATTGCTCCCTGAACGCAGCGGCTCAGACCACTCGAACATGCTGCTTTCAAATTTTACGCTTTAGTTTTTCAATTAATTTTCAATCCAGTGAATTTTTTTTGTACTGCATGTTCCAAAATCTTCTAGTCCTTTGAATTGCCAATAGCCGCAATTAGTCTGGTTGGCTAGGGAGACTAAAATATCTTGAGATTTTTTTCTTTGACAGAAGTGGGATTCGAACCCACGCATCCGAAGATACTGCGACCTGAACGCAGCGCCTTAGACCACTCGGCCATCCTGCCGTTATTCGAATCTTTCAAAAACTTTAAGTAATTTTCAATCCAGAGATTAGTTTTGTTTATTCAGCTTGTTGCGAAAATTTTTGGGACTTTGAATTGCTAATACATGCTAATCCATTCTCAAAAAATCTCTTTCTTTGACAGGAGTGGGATTCGAACCCACGCATCCGAAGATACTGCGGCCTTAACGCAGCGCCTTAGACCACTCGGCCATCCTGCCTATAAGGCTATTTCTTTAAAATTTCAACTACTTTTCAACCCGGAGATCATTTTTGTTTCTTCTGCATTTTGCAAGCGTTGCTGGTCATCTGAACTGCCAAAACTTACTATTAATGTGATTGGCTCTGGAAGCTATAATCTCAGAAAAAATTTTTCTATGACAGATGTGGGATTCGAACCCATTAATCTGAGGATATTGCTCCCTGAACCCAGCGGCTTAGACCACTCGAACATGCTGCTGTCATATTTTACGCGTAAATTTTTCTATTAATTTTCAATCCAGTGATTTTTTTTTGTTCTGCATGTTCCAAAATCTTCTAGTCTTTTGAATTGCCAATAGCCGCAATTAGTTTGGTTGGCTAGGGAGACTAAAATATCTTGAAATTTTTTTCTTTGACAGGAGTGGGATTTGAACCCACGCATACGAAGATACTGCGACCTGAACGCAGTGCCTTAGACCACTCGGCAACCCTGGGTTTAATGGCATCTTTCAAAAACTTTAAGTAATTTTCAGTCCAGAGATTAGTTTTGTTTATTTTGCTTGTTGCAAGCGTTGCTGGTCATCTGAACTGCCAAAACTTACTAATAATGGAGGCCGCAATTAGTCTGGTTGGCTAAGGAGACTAAAATATCTTAAAATTTTTTTCTTTGACAGGAGTGAGATTCGAACCCACGCATCCGAGGATACTGCGACCTGAACGCAGCGCCTTAGACCACTCAGCCATCCTGCAGTTTCTGCAATCTTTCAAAAACTTTAAGTAATTTTCAGTCCAGAGATTAGTTTTGTTTATTTTGCTTTTTGCAAAAATTTTTGGGACTTAGAATTGCTAATACTTGCAATCAGTGTGGTTGGCTAGGGGGACTCAACCCTCATAAAAAACCCTTTCATTGACAGGAGCGGGCTTAGAACCCACGAATCCAAAAATGCTCTAATTTTTTTGATTAATTTTCAATCCGGAGATTTTTTGTTTATTCTTTAAATTACAAAACCTTTTATTCCTTTGATTTTGCAATAGTTGCAACTAGTGTGGTTGATTAGGGAAACAAAAATATCATAAAAGTTTTGTCTTTGACAGGAGTGGGATTCAAACCCACGCATCCGAAGATACTGCGGCCTAAACGCAGCGCCTTAGACCACTCGGCCATCCTGCCTATAAGGCTCTTTCTTTAAAATTTCAACTAGTTTTCAATCCAGAGATCATTTTTGTTTCTTCTGCATTTTGCAAGCGTTGTTGGTCATCTGAACTGCCAAAACTTACTATTCATGTGATTGGCTCTGGAGGCTATAATCTCAGAAAATCTGTTTCTCTGACAGATGTGGGATTCAAACCCATTAATCTGAAGATATTGCTCCCTGAACGCAGCGGCTTAGACCACTCGAACATGCTGCTTTCAAATTTTACGCTTAAATTTTTCAATTAATTTTCAATCCAGTGAATGTTTTTTTGTTCTGCATGTTCACAAATCTTTTAGTCCTTTGAATTGCCAATAGTCGCCATTAGTGTGGTTGGCTAGGGAGACTAAAATATCAGCAATTTTTTTTTGACAGGAGTGGGATTCGAAACTACGCAACCGAAGATACTGCCACCTGAATGCAACGCCTTAGACCACTCGGCCATCCTGCCCATTCTGCAATCTTTCAAAAACTTTAAGTAGTTTGCAATCCAGAGATTAGTTTTGTTTAATCTGCTTGTTGCAAAAATTTTGGGACTTTGAATTGCCAATACATGCAATCAGTGTGGTTCGCTAGGGGTTACTCCATTCTCAAAAAATCACTTTTTTGGACAGGAGTGGGATTCGAACCCACGGATCCGAAGATACTGCGGCCTAAACGCAGCGCCTTAGACCACTCGGCCATCCTGCCGTTAATTGAATCTTTCAAAAACTTTAAGTAGTTTGCAATCCAGAGATTAGTTTTGTTTATTCTGCATTTTGCAAGCGTTGCTGGTCATCTGAACTGCCAAAACTTACTATTCATGTGATTGGCTCTGGAGGCTATAATCTCAGAAAATCTTTTTATCTGAGAGATGTGCGATTCGAACCCATTAATCTGAGGATATTGCTCCCTGAACCCAGCGGCTTAGACCACTCGAACATGCTGCTGTCATATTTTACGCGTAAATTTTTCTATTAATTTTCAATCCAGTGATTTTTTTTTGTTCTGCATGTTCCAAAATCTTCTAGTCTTTTGAATTGCCAATAGCCGCAATTAGTTTGGTTGGCTAGGGAGACTAAAATATCTTGAAATTTTTTTCTTTGACAGGAGTGGGATTTGAACCCACGCATACGAAGATACTGCGACCTGAACGCAGTGCCTTAGACCACTCGGCAACCCTGGGTTTAATGGCATCTTTCAAAAACTTTAAGTAATTTTCAGTCCAGAGATTAGTTTTGTTTATTTTGCTTGTTGCAAGCGTTGCTGGTCATCTGAACTGCCAAAACTTACTAATAATGGAGGCCGCAATTAGTCTGGTTGGCTAAGGAGACTAAAATATCTTAAAATTTTTTTCTTTGACAGGAGTGAGATTCGAACCCACGCATCCGAGGATACTGCGACCTGAACGCAGCGCCTTAGACCACTCAGCCATCCTGCAGTTTCTGCAATCTTTCAAAAACTTTAAGTAATTTTCAGTCCAGAGATTAGTTTTGTTTATTTTGCTTTTTGCAAAAATTTTTGGGACTTAGAATTGCTAATACTTGCAATCAGTGTGGTTGGCTAGGGGGACTCAACCCTCATAAAAAACCCTTTCATTGACAGGAGCGGGCTTAGAACCCACGAATCCAAAAATGCTCTAATTTTTTTGATTAATTTTCAATCCGGAGATTTTTTGTTTATTCTTTAAATTACAAAACCTTTTATTCCTTTGATTTTGCAATAGTTGCAACTAGTGTGGTTGATTAGGGAAACAAAAATATCATAAAAGTTTTGTCTTTGACAGGAGTGGGATTCAAACCCACGCATCCGAAGATACTGCGGCCTAAACGCAGCGCCTTAGACCACTCGGCCATCCTGCCTATAAGGCTCTTTCTTTAAAATTTCAACTAGTTTTCAATCCAGAGATCATTTTTGTTTCTTCTGCATTTTGCAAGCGTTGTTGGTCATCTGAACTGCCAAAACTTACTATTCATGTGATTGGCTCTGGAGGCTATAATCTCAGAAAATCTGTTTCTCTGACAGATGTGGGATTCAAACCCATTAATCTGAAGATATTGCTCCCTGAACGCAGCGGCTTAGACCACTCGAACATGCTGCTTTCAAATTTTACGCTTAAATTTTTCAATTAATTTTCAATCCAGTGAATGTTTTTTTGTTCTGCATGTTCACAAATCTTTTAGTCCTTTGAATTGCCAATAGTCGCCATTAGTGTGGTTGGCTAGGGAGACTAAAATATCAGCAATTTTTTTTTGACAGGAGTGGGATTCGAAACTACGCAACCGAAGATACTGCCACCTGAATGCAACGCCTTAGACCACTCGGCCATCCTGCCCATTCTGCAATCTTTCAAAAACTTTAAGTAGTTTGCAATCCAGAGATTAGTTTTGTTTAATCTGCTTGTTGCAAAAATTTTGGGACTTTGAATTGCCAATACATGCAATCAGTGTGGTTCGCTAGGGGTTACTCCATTCTCAAAAAATCACTTTTTTGGACAGGAGTGGGATTCGAACCCACG